TCAAAAGCACTCGCTGTCACTCAAAAGCACTCGCGGGCATTCATAGGCACTGCTGGCACTTAAAAGCACTCAAAGGCTTTCAAAAGCACTCGCGGGCACTCGCTGGTACTGAAAGGCGCTCAAAGGCACTCGCGGGCATTCAAAGGCACTCAAAAGCACCCGTTGGCATTCAATGGCACTCATAGGCACACAAAAGCACTCATAGGCACTCGATGGCGCTCAATGCACTCAAAGGCACTCGCTGGCGCTCAAAGGTACTCAAAGGCATATATATATGTCTACCTATAGCCTACGTACGTATTGGTTTAGTACGAGTTAGTTTCGCCCGTGGGAACTAGATGGCGCTATTTTAATGAAACCACAAGATGGCTATTTATACTTTAATACTTTATAATCATCTATGAACTGATGCTAAGTGCGCGGACTGCGGACCTCATCTAAGGCGCGGAGTTGCGAACATTCTCCTAAGCGGCTCTCTCTGTCTCTTTCGCACTCATGTAAATTAGTCGGTAGCGAATTTAGGCTTTGGCAAAATAGTGGCCAAGTGATTTTAGGTTGAATTTCCTTTGAATTAATTATCATTTAAGTATTTCCAATGAAGTCTGTACAGTTTTTAAAAATAAAATATTGAACAACCATAAACCCTTATATTCTATATAAGAAGCTGAACAACTGTACAATAACGGACTAACTTAGTAATTTGAAAAAAAATCCCTGCAAAATGTTACACAGCTGTTCAATATTGTGTGTAAAGATTTTTTTCACAAACTACGTATTTAAAAAATAATAAGATTCACGCAAAATTACTGGGAGTTACGGTACTTAAACGTATTCTTTTTATCACTGCGAGAAAAAAAGGTATAACAAGCAATATACTATAAGTACATGCCACTAAATTGTATCAATGTTTACAATTAAGCTTAAAAATATACTTTGTTTTACCATATAAATAATAAACCACGATTACAAATATTTATCCACGTTTTTGGATAAATATCGAGTAAAAATGGATAAATATGGATATTTATCTTTCTACTGAGTATTTAACGTGTTATCTATACAGCTCGATGTTTTAGAAATAATACATTGTTCTGGCAAACGGGCGAATGACCAATTTACCTATGTATAATATTTTATACATAAATATAGTATTCAAATATATAATTATGGACTTTAGTATCTTAAAGTAATATTTTACAACAAAAATTAAATGAGGGTTACACCACTTTCACGCTGATACCCTCAATTAAGATACAATTGTTTTCAAACAGGTATTGGACGTGGCATTGTGGTGGAACTATGGAGGCAGGGTGCCAATATAGCTACTCTTTCAAATCAACCTGCAAACCTTAAGAAGCTGAAAGAAGAATATCCATCGATAGACGTAGTAGCTGTAGATCTTTCAGACTGGGATAAAACTAGAGAAATCGTGGAATCCTTAGGAGTTTTCGACGCTCTAGTAAACTGTGCTGGTATTGCGATGGTTGAACCCTTTTTAGAATGCAGTTCAAGCACTTTTGACAAGTACGTACATTTTAACTACATTTTTATAAACCTAAAAGAACAAAACCGTATTCGGTTTTGTTCCAAGCTTTCTCGTCCATTGTTTTGCATAACGTACTGTTAATACAATAGTGTATTAACTCAAAAAATGTATTTTTCAGAATAAATGAAAAACGAATTACTGTCCGAGAAAGATCATTAAAATGTATGTATAGGTTCATGTTAATTACAGCCGCCCATACAATTTCCTACTTCCCAAATATATTTTAAAGTAAAAGGGAAAAAATAGTTTCATATATTTGAGTAAGGACTGTTTTGGCCAGACCTACCTCACATAACTTTGTGTCACTTTGAGTGACTTAGATATCTTTTAATTGTTTCTAACAAAATTCTAACGATGGTTTTATTGACGTGTAAATAATCAAATTTTACTTTCAATGCCACACTCAGAAGCTCCCACGCATCTAAACTCTGGAAAATACCTGAAATTGTTATGTTAAATAATAAAGGTGTAATAAAACCGATCTGCACTTACGGGATACAATTGTGGTTAACAGCCCTAAATAACATTCTCAAAGTTAACTGCTGCACCCAACTTCTTTTTGTAACATTATCTAATGTTTCAATAATGCACATTATCTTTAATGGATTCATTACACTATGTGACACAAACAAACACTTGAAAATAATTGAATAAATTACGTTCGTTTAGCGGTCTTTTTGCGCTTTTTTTCTTCTTGTCGCGGGTGCACGCGACACCATCTCGAGCCACACGCAAAGACGGCGAACTCGTATCCCCACGTTCATCGCCGTGGCTTCCTATGGGGGAAGGTGGCGACTAAAGTCGCGTCTCCTTCTCCCTGTCCTTCGGCGACGGATGGCGACAGAGGCCGCAGCCTCCCTGTCTCTCTCCGCCGCCTCGTTCTGCAAAAGGACGGTTTCACAGAAAGTTAGGACCGCTTTCCACAACCTCTCGTTGTCGACCATGGCGCGAACCACCGTCGGCAACAAGAGATTCCTTCCAACAATTGCGCTTCTCCCAGGCCGGGCAAACCTCTACCGTGTGCTGAGCCGACTCCCCGGGGCACCTACTGCAGTGGTGGCACTCCGATGTCGCCTCCCTTCCGGCAATTCGACTAAGATACCTCTCAAAACAGCCGTGTCCCGAGAGGATCTGCGTCAGCCGAAAGGTTAGCGCACCATGTCGCCTGTCCATCCACTGCGACAATCCAGGGCGGATTGCCTCGATAGTATGGTGGCATGCACTAGGCTGTTCGAGCCTATGGGCCCACTCCACCAACATGGCGCGCCGGAGCTCGTTCTCTTTCGCCTCCATCTCTCTCGGCGCTAATCGCTGGCCCTGGCCATGCACTTCCTCTCGCCAGTGAAATATGGACGAGAGGGCCTTCGCATCCAGGTCCCATGACAGGGAACCTGCCAGATCTCAAAAGAGATCGTGAGGGAACCCCGCGTCACCCTTATGGCCCTCTTATCACTGTCTGGGGTTTGCGCAGAAGGGCGACATTCTGCTTCTTCAAGGTGTCTGCCCACACAGGGGAGCCATATATAGCCTTCGACCCCACAACCCCCATGTATAGTTTCCGGCTTAAGGCTTTTGGACTACCCAAATTTGAGAAAAGCCCACTCAATGAACCTGCAGTCCCCATCAACCCTGGTACCAGGCGTTTGAAGTGGGCTTATAAATCCCAGCGACCATCAAGAGTAAGTCCAAGATATGAAAGAGGCCCATATAGATAGTGTGTGCTATTCGAGCCTTAATGAGTCAGTTCCAAATGAACAACTTTATGGCCAATTATTTTTAAAGTCGTTTTACCATATAAACTCATTTTCGTAATTTTTTTAATTAGGACACTTTCATTCTAAGGTATGACAGGTGTTGCCAACTGTTACGGAATGATGCGAAAGCTCCCCGTGACTATCAACGACATAATAGTGAGGGAGGAGATGACGTCTGATATCACCCATCGCCTACTGGCGGCGGAATACCCCTGAGAATTACCTGATTTTAAAAAATATGTTGCCTACTCATTGATCACATTCAAAAAATGTTCCGCATATGAGAGTGGCCAACCGTATTAACATAGAATAGGTTTGTCAGAAAGTCTTTAGTCTATGTAATAAGAGCGACATAGACGTTATGTGTTTCGCGGTGGCGGTCTGAGAAGAAGCCAAACGCGTAAAGAGTTCGTCCAGCGAAATACTGCCACCTTATAACGTTTTCTGTCGCCAAGCGGTAATGTGACCATTATTGTCACAATAGACTAAGAACTATGTTACTGCGTTCCGGTTTTTAACCTTTTCAATTTAAAGTTCTGAGTGGCACTGCAACTGCTATGGATAGGCGTGTCGCTTAACACCAGACGCACGACATGTTCGTCCCGTAACCCAGTTCGTATTTATAATGTTATATTAATTTTTAATAATTACAGAACAATATCAATTAATACAAAGGCTATTTTGAACGTCAGTCAGATCGTCGCCAAGAAAATGATCCAGAATGGAATACGAGGTTCCATAGTGAATATTTCCTCGAAGGCATCTCAAGTAAGTTACAGCGAATTGGGTTTTCCAACACATATTCCACAGCAGGGCACGGGTCTCTTCTAAAAAGACAGTTTATAGTCGACCACACTGGCGTCAAGGTAGACAATTTCTTATACTTTGATAGCTTTTGATAATTTATATTCTGTCCTCGTAACGAAAAAAGGCATAACTATACGTACTTTATACAGCAATTGTGCCTTTGTTCGTTCTGAGGGCAGTATTGGACCTCTGCATCTGAATGATCCTTGAACTCACAGCTTTTGTACATAATTATCGTCTGCTTAAAGGAAAAATCACGTACTTAAGTGATATTTTCCACTAAACGCCATAAAATTTTATAGCTATGGTAAGAAAATGAGGATCTTTCCGGAGATGAAACTCAATTATAAAAAATCTATAAACTAAGTATTATTAATAGAAAAAGGCTTTAAATTTGAATAATTAAAAATAATTGAATAAAAATATTGAATTTGAATAATTAATAATTAAAAGAAAATTAATTTTGAACTAGAAAGTAATTTTAAAATCCGGGCGGGTTGATTGGGTTTTAATTCACTACCCATCTCTACGTTACATTATCATTAGTTCCAAGTTAATCTTGTATGTGAGCAATAAAGCGTATTTACTTATCTTAAACATTTTTTTTTTTTCATAATGACTTGTTAATATTGAGTGTTGATTATGAGCTCTTCAATAATAACGCCGATAACTCGTTAACAATCTGATTTTATGTTGAAATGATGCTTTAAAATTGGAATACATAAAATTAACTTCGAAAAATCGCCTGATGCTTAGCGCTCGTTTCTTTTAATTCGTCCTCTGAATGCCGGTTTGAGCCCCCGGGTCTCTTAGTGCCCCCGCAGTGCAATTTGTGTATTATGTTCGGTCTCTTATTGATTTGATATAAGGTTTTATAATATATTTTTTCCAACACAATCACTATTATTAAGGAAAATAAATAAACTAACTGATCGAGTGTGTTGAAAAATGTGATGTCAAATACGATATTACGTAAATTATTATTTATGTAGTCATATCATTTGAACTAATTGACCTTTGGTTTTACAGGCGGCTCTTCAAGATCATGTTGCGTATTGCGCTTCAAAAGGCGCAGTGGATGCGATGACAAGAGTAATGGCGTTAGAGCTAGGCCCCCACGGCATCAGAGTTAACACGATCAACCCAACTGTTGTCCTGACTGAATTGGGCCGGAAAGTTTGGTTGACTGACCCTGCGAAGGCAGAAAAATTACTCGCCAAAATTCCATTGGGAAGGTTTGTAATAATATTAATATAATATGTGGTCTGTGTATAATACTATACTAGTACAGGATACCTAATCTCTACAAAGGAATGTCGCACTCATAACTCCGCTTATTCGAGCAATAGATGGTACTGAGTAAACCCGCGATGCGATTGTAATAATATTTGGAAAGACCAACAGATGGCAGTTATCACATTTTTATCAAGGTTATTTCTCTTGTTGGCGTTGATGTACACACGGCAGCACATCAAGCTACACATTGACGTATCTTGTTCCGTTGCACTGGAGGCGATTTTCGAACAAAAATGTGTAGTCTGATGTGCCGTTGTCCGTACATACAATAACATACGAATAGAGAAGCTGAATCTGTAATTTTCATATTATAAAATAAAAATCAGTGCTAAAACATTAGGGGAAAGCTGTACCAGATGATCCCCTTAAAGAATATTCAGCTTAAAGCAGATGTAAAAGCGTTGAATGATAGAAAATGTATCTATTTACGTGTTGCCTTACTAAAAACGTTTTATTTTTTTATCTTTCATTATTATATTTGAATATTTTTAAAACCCTACTAAAGGTATGGGCAACATGACCCAGGGAATCACTTTGCCTCTATTTAGGAAAATTTCTATGTTTTGGTAGAAACAAATGAAAACAACAACTTTATAGACTTTACAAAGTCATCACTTATGTAATCTAGGTATATGAAACAACAGTTACGGAACTTCGAGAAGAAATAATCCTAATTAATTTATACTTTACAGCTACCTAAGGGTGGGCGATATTGTTTTTTATGGCAAGTTGCTATCCATCCTCGTCTCCACATCTTTAATGTACTTTTTACGACCTCGATTTCCTGTTTAACGCATCTGATGAAAACAGTTTTTTTTTTCACCTAAATATTTCATTGAACTGACAGACCCTTTATTTTTACCTTTAGCCCGTCTTTATAATGACATAAGGCGTACCTTAGAATGGAAGTTGCCTAACTTTTTAATCAACTTTACCTTAGATCAAACTCACACAATTTTTGTTCTTTTCCACAAAAATGAACTCGTCACTCACATCGCTATAACGAATTGACTGATGAGAGGGCATTGAGGCCTACTTTTTACTGAAGAAAATATCTAGATGACGTTACTAGTTTCGCTACAATTGAAAAGGACCATCTTACGTCCAAGGATCATCTCATACACCTTTCCCATACTTCCTTTCGAGAACAAATCATAAAGTAGGATCATTGAGAAACCTGCGATTTGTTAAGCTTTGAACATACCTACCTATTTTTATTTTTGTGCGAAAGTAAAATCTGATGAACTACTAAAAGACATGGAACAAAAGTTGTTGTATTATATATATATTAGGGGTTAAAGTATGAAATTGCCGTTTTATTGCAATAGGTTCTTTGAATTTTCATAGAATCTTCATGGTTTGAGGTTTTCGAATGAAACTTTTTTCAAATGGTTTCTGTGATTTTATTTTTTTTAAATTTGAAACATTTGAATATCGACTTTCAATTGTTTTTGTTATTCAATTTAGACAAGAAAGATGGATACTGCGAAAATTCGAGTGATTTTTGAATACGAGTTCCGACGCGGAACTAACGCGGCAGAAACAGCCCGCAATATCAATGCTGCGTTTGGAGAGGGGTCTACTAATGAACGCACCGTGCGATTTTGGTTTAAACGCTTTCGTGATGGAAATTTCGACTTAAAGAACGAGCCACGAGGAAGACCGCCCACACAGGTGAATAACGATGAATTAAGAGAGATAGTAGAAGCCGATCCTAGTCAAACTACCCAGGAATTAGCAGCATGGTTTAACGTTACCTTACCCACAATATTGACTCACTTGCGTCAAATCAATAAAATTAAAAAATATGAAAAATGGGTGCCTCATGATTTGACTGATCTGCAGAAAGAAACGCGTGTTGAAACTTGTGTTGCCTTGTTGAACCGGTACAGAAATGAAGGAATATTGGATCGAATTGTAACATGTGATGAAAAGTGGATTCTTTATGATAACCGGAAAAGAAAAATGCAATGGCTGACCCCAGGTCAAATGCCACAACAGTGTCCTAAAGCAAAACTTACCAATAACAAGGTAATGGTAACTGTTTGGTGGTCTCAGCATGGTGTTATTCACTATAGTTTTCTCCGATCTGGTCAAGCAATAACGGCAGATGTCTATTGTGCCGAACTCCGAACCATGTTGACAAAACTAGCAGTAAAACAGCCCCGACTCATGAATCGATCTTCACCATTTTTGCTCCACGACAACGCGAGACCTCACACAGCACGAGAAACCATTTTGACTCTTCAGGAACTGCAGTTAGAAACCATTCGTCATCCTCCGTATTCACCAGACCTTGCTCCAACGGACTACCATTTTTTTCGTGATTTGGACAATTATCTACGTGACAAGAAGTTTTCTTCCCAGGAGGCAGTACAAAATGCTTTCACACAGTTTGTGCAGTCTAGATCGTCGGAGTTCTATCGCAAAGGCATTAATAACCTTCCCATTAGATGGCAGCAATGTATAGATAATAATGGCAACTATTTTGATTAAATAAATTTGTTAAAAATTTAAAAAATAAACAATTTAGATTTTCGGTACAAATCGGCAATTTCATACTTTAACCCCTATTATTAACAGGTGTTAGTAATATAGTTCTGCGGGGTTGACAGTATTTTACAAATAACCTTGTAAGTATACCACCTACATTTCCTCTTATATTATGGGATTTGTCACTTTGTTTTGGGACGACTGTCAAGAATTGGCAGTTATTTTCCTTGTTTTAATACTTATTATCTATATATATATCCTTTTTAAAAACTCCAAACCATAACTAACTTAGCCATACGCAAAATAGGCGCACGATGTCGAATTGAGGAAACCAGTTACACAATACATCTATAGAATATTCTTATTTTACTTTCCTTAAACGTTGTTACCTAAGAATTTATAAATTGAGCCCGAAAAAATATCAGGCATTCTGGGGCATAGATTGTAGTGCATGATGCAATGGATGTGCTTCGTTTGAATAAATGCAAACTACGGACGTCGGCACATCAGGCTACACATTTTTGATGAACAAGATACGTCAATGTTGTGTGTGTGTGTGAGTTGTGTGTCCAACTTCGATTATAAATACATCCTAGCAAACGAAGGCGACGAGAACGACTTAAATCGACCTTCGTTTATGAACACAGGTGGCAAACACATCATATTTTGTTATTTAATTAAGAATCGAATTTGACTATTTCGTTGATTGTTTATTATAAGACTTATTCCTTAAATTTTTTACTAAAAATAGACTAAAGTAGTAGAAGTAATTCTAGTAGATATGTACCTACCAAAATAAAATTCACAAGGATTTGTATAAAAGTAGCAGTGCTTGTCCTTCAGCTCTGCTATTAATGGCCTTAACCCTATCCTTAGAGGAAAACCATGCCCGATAGTGGGATCTAATACTTTGGAAACTTTCACTTCTGGGTACAAAAACTAACGTATTTTATAGCAATAGGGTGAATAATAATGGACAAAAGGGGCAAACTTAATTTTTTTTTAATATAGATTCAATTGTCTTGTGGTGAATTTATATTGAAACTTGCACATAATTGCAATAATTATTATTCGTGTTGCTGATTTTGCCTTACAAAATTCCTGAAATACAGACCTGAAATACGTCTAGTTTAGGCAGCAGTCTCCCATAATATAATTATTTCTTTTTTTATGTATAGTGCTTGTCATTATAATCAATGTAGGTACCTATATTGTGGTAAGAAAATAAACAAACTTATTATTATTATTATCATTATCGTTGTTGTCCTTGTTGTTGTTATTGTTATTATTATTATTAACACTTGTTTCCCGAGTTGGTAAATTCAAACGGATATACTTTCATCGCGATATAGATTTCAAGGCTTTCGTGGTTATTCACTAAAAGATTATCACTAATTTCAGGTTTCTTACCACGGTATGACATGTTTTTATTTTCCCGATATTTCCGAACGGTCACACGCTCCATGGTCACGGATTGGCTGGACGGTGGCAGATGACAGCTTTAAGAGCAGACATATCTGTCTACTCTCGAAATATCGGGAAAATAAAAAGAAGTCATACCGTGGTAAGAAACCTGAAATTAGTGATAATCATTTCATCACGATGTTTTTCTTCCCCGAAAGGCTCATCACTAAATTTCAAATTAAATTTCACGTTAAATTTCGTACATAAATTCCGAAAACCTCAGAGATGCCGAATGAGAGAGCCCGGACTCGAACCTATAACCTCTGCTTGAGAGGCAGTAAATCAAACCATTAGGTTACCACGGCTTATTTTATAATTTGGGCCTTTCAAGGCGAGAGGGAATAGGCATTATTTAAGTGTAGCTCCATCGTCGACCTCATCATCACTTTCCATCAGCATACTGATTTTAATTCAAATTTAATCGACCCGATCGGGTAATCTCGAAATCAGATTGGTTTCCGAGCGAAAAGATGATCCTGATTCCTATTATATCTTTCTAATTTGTGAGTTAAATCAACTATTGTTCTGATTTGAAATGTCATGTTTCCAATCGGCCGGTTGTGAATCGCAGTTATGCGCCTCGACTCGGAAGGGACGTACTTTCCGATCGGGAGAGGCAATCAAAATCAAGCTACAAGTGAGATGGAGGTCAAATGTTACTTACTATTTAACTTAAAAAAATCGATAAAGAGAAATGACATCCCTCTACGGACTCGCTGATTATAAGTAATTCCTTTATGACTACGGGATTGAACTTAACGCCTACTACTATGGGCCTAAAGTCATTAATATCATGATTGATTGAATTATAGCATAATATTCAATGTTCATTCATTCCAGATTTGGTGAAGTGCACGAAGTTGTAAATGCCGTTCTATTTCTGCTAAGCGATGATGCGAGAATGATCAGTGGCGTTCACCTGCCTGTGGATGGTGGTTTTCTGGCTACGTAATCCGAAATTGCAACGTTACGGAAAAGGAACAACGAGGAATGTCGCGAAGTACCTACGCACGTTATAAACCATGAACATATTATTTTATACAAATTACTACTGCTACACAATACTCTTATGATACTGTAGGGGGTTTCCTTAATGTCATAATTTTAATGAAATAAAACGGTTCCTTTGGCTATCCGCGAGTATTAATATACACAGAACTAGTGAGAGAGAAAACTGCCGATTTCTTAACAGAACAAATGGGGAAAAAAGTACCAGTTGTTCTGTAAACTGTACAACAAAACTAGTGGGAATAATGGATTTGTTTATCAGATAACTTTAGGGCAATCGCACCACTCAACATAGCCCCGCACTAGGGAAACCCCACAAACTAATAAGAGATGGGAAACCCTGTGTCGCGGGTGCCATGGACATACACATAGACAACCACAAATGACACCCAAACTCACGAGAGAAATAAATGTAGGCCATACAAATATTTCTCCCGGTCCTAATGTCTACGGTTATTTTAATTTTGATTTTTGTTTTGTATGTTACATGTAACTAAATATATTTGACCATGACAGAATAACAGCGAGCCTGGGTCATGGATCCTTTTGACATGCTGTTTTTTTATTTGTATTTTTTATGCTTCTTTTTATTTTAATTGAACTTATTTTTATTATTTTTTTTGTTTTGTTTGAAATGTATGCATGTCAAATAAAGCCTATTTTAATTTTTTTTATATATATTTTTGTACCATTCGGTACAGCGCTCTGGCAACTTTGGATGTAGGGTTATGGCCAGTATGCTGCTACACATACAGTGTGAGTACACTTAGTATTGACAAGTGAATTTGACGCCCAGCTGAAGCCTTCAGCCCCGCTCCGGACACACTCCACGAGGACGTAAAATATGTATGTCCTCTTTTGTTACAAATAAGAGTAGTTTGAAGACGTTATCATACCCATCAGGTAGGAGAAATATACTATTCTTCGCGGTTTGCTTTGTACTGGTGGTTTATTGGATTGTAAGGAAACGATGTTACTATATAAAGTATCATAGTATCTTCATCGTCTTTGGAAGCAAATGTTTGGAATAAAAGTGGCGTTTTCAACGGACATTACAGTTGAATAGTAGACCACACCATAAGCACGGGGCGATTTACTGAATTAAACGATAATATATAATACCATCCCTGATTTTTAGTGTACGTAATATGTCCACAAATACAAAAGTATCATACAATAAAAAGAAAATTTCGTTTTACTCAGTTTATTGTGCCAAAGGAATTAATACATACCGTTCTGGACATAGGAAACAATGTAAGCTTAACAATTTGCATATAGATATAATGCATAATATGCTAAGCTATACAGGCTAGCATACAGGAGAAAAATGTATATGAAAAGAAAGAAACATTGTTACATAAGATAAAATTGTGGAAAATCTACAAAAACATTACTATGTCAAAATTGTAAGAGTGCATTTTTCTTGCCTTTGGAGGGATAAAATCCTTTGAACAATTTAGAATAAGCCAGTTCGATTTCTCCTCTAATGTTAAAATCGGTAAGAACTATTAAAAGTTTCAAGATCTTTTGAAGCAGACTCGAGTAAATCGAATACAGTTCTATACCAAAGAGGTAGGCTCGATTTATATTGCGGCGGAACGGAATGGAAGCGAATTAATGTAACGGCATTGTACATAGCATAATGAACTGTATGGTCAACTGCGTAGCATACAAAGTAGATACGAGCCAAAATCTTTCACTGATACAATACAATATCGTTATAAAAATTCGCTTCCATTCCGTTCCGCCGCAATATAAATTGAGCCTTAGTGGTACCCAGCGACACAATTCGATGCGAGTGTAGAATAACAGCAAAATAATTAATGACATTAAACTACAACAGTTATGTATGTATTTATTTCCATTACCTAGGATATTGTAAAAAACAGTGTCGGCTTATGTAATACTTCTTACAACTATTATATACAAAATTAAGTCCATAAAGTCTTTCGTCGGATAGAGCATACACTTAAAAGTTAGGAGCAAGCTACGAAGTTCGCGCCTCGAAGCGGTACACGAGTCGGCGTTGGTACAAGGCCACAAGCGACGTGCTCCATACCGCGACCCGACCACACTGCCATTCCCAAGTATTTGGACACAATAACTTTCTAACATACATTTAATTAACATAACTCCATAAGAATTAGTAACACAATATCATTAAAACTTGTTTGGGAAGATATTAAACCCAGCAGATCAAATAAACATTGCAATAACTACATTAGACTACGCCGTGCGTAACATACCACTTGGCACTCGGCGACAGTTACCTGAACAATGGCGACGTTGATCATCACATTGACAGAAGTCAAGCAACACAATGCATATACATGTACAAATGCTATTTAATACCCTGTGGTCTAAGAACTTAAATTTCTTCGAATACATAAGCTAAAGAAGCTTATAAGCACGCTTATGAACAAGCAACAGTCGAAACGTATTACTGAAAAGTGTTTATAAAGATTTTCCCTTTATAAAGTCGCAATTTATAGATAATAACTGAGGTGCTGGATTCCAAACAAAATCATTAATTAATGAATACAATATCGAAAACAAAACTAAAACCTTACACTTATCGACAACAGGATTACATATTAACCCCGTTTTGTTTACGATGCACATTCTTAACACAAACTTATATTTATATTTACACACAAAATTGAACCTAATTCTCAGTCATATTAGAGATGGATGGTCCATTCCAGTCAACGAACATTTTGTGAAGCGAAAAAAATCACACACCCGAGATATCTGTACGATATTATAAAACATAGGTATAGGACTCACAACAGTATTTACAGACATTTTTAACGTTTAAGACGCGCCGAGATGGATCACAAAGCTGATATAAATAATTTAATATCACTATTGCATGATAGACAAATGGTAACCAATCCAGCGTACTGGTAAACAAAGGAAGGACATATGCAGATTTTGGTAATTTACATGAGATCAAAACTTTTAAATGGTCAGAAGTCAATTGAAACATAGAAAGTACTCAAAGGAATGTTTATCTATTTATTCTTTATAAGAATTAACAATTATTGAAACCAAATGCCATAAAAGACAGTTTCTCTATTACAATGCGAAGACAAAAGCGAACTTACCTAGTTAAACTATGGCAGTGGCTGGAAATGAAAACAATCGTGCGCAATCTTTGCATCTTATTTTCATGTCAATGGAAAGAAGTAAGCAAAAAATGTTTCAATATAAAAAAGGACGTATCCTTGCTCATCAGCTATACAAATCAGTTTGAGTGGAGCGATCCTTCAGTTAGACTGATTTGGCATAAATAAACATGGAAGACGTAACTTTAAAAGTCTTCGCTCATATATACCGATCTGACACGACCCACAGCGCCTCGACTGAAGACTATAGGAAAAAAAAACAAAACAGCGCGATGCCTTATACACACACGTATCGGTGTATTTCAAGTGTCGACTCAAAGCCCATTTCTAGATGTTTCGTCTTGGACCGTTACCGAACAGTATATAAGCGAAAACCTTTAGCCCGTAAGTTGGTATAATCACAACTAAAGACTAATAAAGGATAAGCACGAAAAATATTGCACATTTTTTAAACTAATTTATACAGATTTATTACAAAAAAAAAAAAGAAATGTATTTGAACACATCTTTAATCGTTGCGATTTTCTCAGAAACAGTTGAAACAAGTAATCCGACTGATTTTAAACAAATGTCATTGCTTACGCAAATCAATTTGGGAGTATTTACATTTGAAGCTAATTTCTTTGACGTAATTAATCGCTTGGAACTGTCAATCCAACCGAGTCGGTGTTCAAACGAATTTATTCTAAACGAAGATTCTTACATCTAAATATAACTGAGCATGAAGTACAATGGTTGCACGGGTAGGCCTAATTTTAGCTATGCTTATATGAGTCACATCGAAACGACGAGAACGTTACTCCTTTTTAATTAGTCCACGGCCCATTCGTCATCTCACTTAGTCTAAAATTAAATAATTTACAATATATGAACGTTAACATGAATGCATACAAAATTTTTCTTACATAAACACGGAATCTGCGTTCAGACGCCTCGCTTTGTGGAGGTCGCGCGCGCTGTGCTCGCGAACACAAGTCGTCCATTTGGAACCGCGTTGTGCGAGGCCGGTTGGACCGGCCGGGCCGAGCAGAGCGTGCCACACAGCGGGCCACAATGCGAACGTGGTTCAGTGGTGTTAGCGCTGCGGGGGGGCGGGGGGCGCCGAGCTCCCTCACCGCCACTCCGAGATGGCCGCCACTGTCGTGCTTGGCTGTCCGGCCGCGCCGGCCGCTGCAACGCCAACGCACCAATTAGTTGGATACGTAACACAATATCCACAGGTGCCTGTAGATTTGCTCGATTTTTCGATACACAAAAAATACGACAGCGATCTTCTGCTTCTTACCTTATTACTCGATTTTGTCTGATCACACATGAAGAGACCAGGGAGAGAATTATCAATGTCACTTATAATAAGTTTTGAGTTAATACCACCATCGAGTTCGGTAACCGCTGAGCGTATTTTGCCTTAGTCAGAGGCTAATAAGGATATTGAAATCCTCAAAAATTAGCTTTTAGTTTAAATCATAAAAATGGTTGCGACGAAATGGTAGAAAAGTCAAAAATGATTTATAAATGTTTTTTTTTAATGGATTACATAGCGTTACATACATTTATGTCAGCATTGATTTTATTTCAGCTAGTATTTGTGCGCGTCTTTTTCATCATTATTTAAAAGTAAAATTCTCCTTGTGTGACCAAAGTGACTTTGATCATTCTTTCGGTGGACACTTTACATGTTGATCGATAAATTTAGTAGCAGCAGAACTCCTTGTAAAAGAGTGCGTCCAAGGTAGTACTGCCTAGTACTGCCACCTTACCTATTTCTGCCGCCAAGCAGTAATGTGAGCATTACTGCGCTCCGGTTTAGAAAGGTAAAGGTGCTGGTGAAATTAGACACATGGGACCTCTCAACTTATGTCTCAGGGTGACTGGCGCAGAGGCTGGTATTTGTTTCACAAACGGGTGTAACACTCATCTTGTTACACAGTCAGTGGATGGTCTAGGTGAAGTACGAGTTATCGCCATAGAGGACCCATTGTCATAAGTTATGTCTATAGTACTTACTGGTTTCCTGCTCCTGATTTTGATCATGGCGCCGCAGAGTACGGTCGTTGGCACCTGCTTGGTAATTTCCGCGTTGTCCCCCTGGAATTATGGCATAAAATTTAATTATAAAAATTATCTATTATAATTTTGGATATTTATTCTAGATTCTATTACAAGTCCCATCCAGGCGACCCATTACTGGACGTGTTAATATTAGGGAGAACATGCTGGCTCTGAATTTTTTTGGTTGTGCACTTGATGTCAAGGTCACGCTTTTCAAGGCATGCAGCCATAATTTCTACACCAGCAGTCTATGGATTATATATTCAAAAATCATACAACACTGCGCATAATGTACATTCCGGAACCGGTTGATGCCACCGTCAAGTGGCTAGGCATGTTTGCCACAGAACAATATCCCAGAGCAATATTATCCAGTTTTATCTTTTGGAGAACTAAGTAAACATGTCGAACTTTCCACGCTAGTAGCGAACAAAAGTTAAGCGAATAAATGCTTCTTTTTTTATTTTAATAACGCACTCAACATAGCTTAGAGAATCCCTGTGTCGCGGGTGCCATGGACACAGATATAGACAACCACAAATTACACCCAAACTCACGAGAGAAATAAATGTAGGCCATATAAATATTTCTCCCGGTCCGGGAATCGAACCTAGGACCTCCGCGTGGCAGTCCGAAATAAAATCCATTATGCAATGTGTGCGTTAAAGAAGACATCTGTTGTTGAGAAAATACTACTTTCTATTCGTTTGTTATGTTAGTCGTAGTCAGCTACTGGCCGCAAGATGATAGCACGTTGAATAAATAAATAATAAATAATAATAAATAACGCACACACTCAACATAGCCCCGCACTAGGGAAACCCTGTGTCGCGGGTGCCATGGACACACACATAGACAACCACAAATTACACCCAAACTCACGAGAGAAATAAATGTAGGCCATACAAACATTTCTCCCGGCCCGGGAATCGAACCTGGGACCTCTGCGTGGCAGTCCGGAATGGTAACCGTTCGGCCACGGAGGTAGAATAAAATATTTAACGATTTTTTTTAATTTTTAAACGAATGATTTCCCAATATTTGTTTTCAATTATTTTTACGCATTTTCATGAAGAAAGATAAATAAATCAAGCTGGGTCTTGATTGTCACGTTGTGAATTCGGAATTATAGTCCAGTGTCAACTGTTGGTGTCACCAAGGCGCATATAGATGTCGCTGTCATATTTTTACGAAATAAACATCACGTATTTTTATTTAATGAGAAATTATCTCCTATGTACTATTAAATAAAAAAATAAACAAAATATTGAAGAGATAAATGTAAATAAATAAGTTCAACTTAACTTTTAATCATTACAAGTCAATATTAAGACAATAAAACTGAAAATAATATTGTTTCCATTGCATCCGTCTAACTATTTTAGGATTGCTAAATTTGACATAAGAACAATATTATTTTAATGTTAAACGTCGCGTCATAGTATGAACTGAGTGAATGAATAGTCACAAAGCTGCCAATAAAACATCATAGTTTTAACATTAAAATAAGCTTACTTTAAGCGCGTCATGGTACGAAAAGTTAAGGTTAAAGCAATATTATTTTAAGAGATTGTGATAGGCCCCCTGATCCATTAGAATAAACGTTTTTCTGATTACTGCAAATCAGATTATTCGATGATTTTTTAACACTAATGCATTTTTTTCGTCAATTTCATTTTCAAATTCAAATTACAAAATTGTCAAAAAAACATTAGTGTTAAAAAAAATAATTAAAAACCTGATTTTCAGTAATTGGCAAAAACATGCTTGATCCTAAACACTTTTGAAGTGTGTATATTTCGGATCTAAATCGCGGATATTCATCTTTGTCCCGTTTTGAGCCCTTTTTCAGGCCATTCGGAACAGTCAGTCGTCAGTACTCATGGAACCTGTAAGTCATACATTCGTTTCCTAACCGATATATTAATTTTTTTCATTTATTTAGGAAATTTTCGAATGCTCCTGTTCGAATTGTGTCACTTTATTATTGGTGCGATATGCAAGTTAAAAACAATGCGATGCATACCAAACTTGAGCATATTCCAGTCAAAGACGTAGTCGTACGTGAATCCTTGTCGGTGGAAGAGAGTGCGGAACAGTTGGCGTAAGTGGCTGTAGTCGGGCCGCTCCTCGAAGCGCAACCGGCGGCAATACTTTAGGTACAGCTGGAACTCGATTGGGTGGTTCTGTGGGGAATTCACAAGATTTATAATTATTATTTGAATGTGACCAAGCCGTTTGTCAAACAGCTCACCAAGCCTGAAAGTATACGACAGCTAAATAATGATAACTATTTTAGAAGTTTTATTGAAATCGTTAGCGGAAAGTGTGTGAAATCCAATAAACCGAATTTGTCCCCTAATTTGCAACCCTTAGATGTGAAATATTTTCTTCAAATTTGAATAGAACTCAGTTAACCCCTTTCAACAAAAAAAAGAATCATCGAAATCGGTTCACAGATGTCGGAGTATCGAACCTCTGCATGGCAGACTAGCATGGTAACCAGTTCCGATAATCCATGTCACGAAAACTTCAAAAATTGCTATTTCGGAAATTCTGCGGAGTTGGTACTTGATTATTTTTTTGTGGAATTAGTCTTTATGTGCAGCTAGGTTTTAAAGCAAGTTGCAAATCCAACTACCATACTGAAACCACAAAAAATTAAGTAAAAAATGAGTACATGGCGATTTACTCGCAGCCTATACGTGCCAACGCGGCCAAAAAACGTTTGTAATATGCCTACAAGTAAGGCCTTTCAAAAAACAATCTAAAGAATTGCTTAGCTGCAACGATTTGGTCATTAGAATTTTATTTTCAAAAAATTACCAAATACGGGACATAACCTTTGGTTGAGGTTTTCTCCAAAACTATTATAGTGAGACTCAAGGGAGTTTTACTCATGCACTCGGAATGAAACGTTTTCTCTGATTCTTTTTTTAACAGGGACATGTCCGATTTTAGGGGTAAAAAAACACTGTGCTACGGAGGCTGTTATCCTTCAATCTGACTCAACTCTGCTGCCGTAGTTTGTGGTTCGTAAGCCGTGGACCCCTCACGCGCGCCTGCCCGCTCGTCTTGTGTCGCCCACGTGACACAACGCTCACAATCGGTAAATTTTTAAACTAAATATAAGTTCTATTTTGTTTGTTATAAATAATGGACACTGCATTGCACAAGTTTATAACTGTATATATGTATCAAATGAATTATTTAAGTATTCTATAAATATAACAGAACACACCATACTACATTACAGAAATATATACGTAATTTATTTTAGTTTATACGCGAAACACACGTTCAAACAAACCTTTTCCGGGAGGTGACATTAGCTGAGTGGATCCCACTGCATACTTTAAGGTCATTTCATTACCTTTTACTAAGATTTTATTTTTTGTTATAATTCAGCTTTATCTTTCTTTTTAATTTCTTACTGTGTATTATTGTGTTGTGGCGTTATGTAATAAACGGTTTCTATTCATTCTTCTATACTCGAACACGTGTTTCTACTGCCATGCCAGGGCCATCGCTCTTAACCAACTGAGCTACTACTACTCAGCAGACCTTACGAATTTCTTTCTGTATTTGTTACGATTCTTTGTATTGGGTTTACTTTTTATGTATTTGTTACGATTCTTTGTTTTGGGTTTAAAGGGTTTTTTTCACCGTCAGCGCACCTGTGAGAAACTTATGTGGTAACTCACTCAGCCAGAAACCTTTGCAGCTACCAAGAGTGGTAGCCACGGCACGGCAACAAACACTGGTTCGAGTTCAGTCAGATTTTTGTTTTATAATACCAAGTGACGGGACGCACAAGTCGTGAGCCTGGTGGTAAGCGACACGCCTATTCATAACAGTTGCAGTGCCAGTCAGAGCTTTAAACCGCAAATATCGGAGGGGTACTGCCACTGCGCCCGTCACTTAGAGACGTAAGTTGACAAGTCCCACGTGCCTCTCCTGCTACTCAATAAAAGAATTTAAAATTGTGTTCCATCTTTGCATCAATAATAACAAAGTAGTGGAGTAACAAACTAATAAAAATCACGTAAACAATAAAAAGAATGTAACAATCCACTTGGTTAAACAAGTAGTGGAAAAATACAATGAATATAAGAAGCCGTACTACATTTCCTTTGTAGACTATAACAAGGCTTTCTATCCCTATCTCATTCTCATATATATAAAGCTCTCCAAAATCAAGGTGTTGAACGAAAATATATTAGAATATTGACCAAAATATATAATGTACAGCAAGATTCCAGTTAGAAAGAATTGGGGACGAATTCAATATTCAAAAAGATGTAAGACAAGGACACCCACGAGCATCGTAAATCTTCTCTGCTGTCCTAGAGGAAATTTTCAGACAGTTGAATTGGGACAAACTAGGACTCAACATAAATGGAAAACACTTGAGATTCGATATTGAGTTTTTTGCAGAAGACCCATCTACTTTGCACGAAATGCTCGAACTGCTAGCAGTAGAAAGCCAGAAAGCAGGGCTAACAATGAGTTTCTCCAAAACTAAGGCTATTACAAATCGACATAAACAACCCTTAATAGCAAAAAATCAAGAAATTGATTATGTGGGTGATTATGTCTCTAGGACAAATAATGTCCCCAAATTTATAAATAGAGAAGAAAATTCAAAAAAGAAGATTAAGCAACAGTTGGGCGCGTGCCCAACTGTTGCTTAATCGCGCTATTGATCGCTCAACGAGATATTCAAGAATGAAGTAATCCCAATGTCAGACAAGCGCAGTCTTCAACACATGCATCCTACCAGTGCCCATATATGGGTGCCAAACAATGGGGCTTGACTAAGTCTCTGAGCGAAAGACTAAAGGTGTGCTAACAAGGAATGGAAAGAAGCATGTTACACTTCAAGCCGAGAAACAAATGGAGACTCCAGAATTAGGAAGGCAACCAAGGCAGATATCACAACAAAAATCAAAAGACTGAAGTGGCGCTGGTATAGACACACAGCAATATCACCAAAAGAAAAGTGGTCAAAAGATGTGACACATTGGTATCCAAGAGATGGAAAGAGGTATAGAGGAAGGCCAACAAGAAGGTGAGAAGACGATCTGCCCTGAGAATGGCGCCGGTCGGCACAAGACCGTTGCTTATAGAAAAATATGGAGGAGGCCTATGTCAGAGGACAACCTAATCAGAACCAGAACCGACGCTGATGTTAGAATTAAGGATTATTACTGTTAGAAGTAAGCATTAGGTTAGAATTAGCATTAATTTAGAAGTAATCAGTGAATAAGAGCTATTTTTTATTTATTTATTTAATTTAACAAACTACTTACTTTACAAAGTTCATCAAAAGGCGTTGAAAGCTTTTTCTCAGATATCCTTTCGTATTTCTGGCGTTTAGTTGCAGCTTTAAGCCCCTGCCAGGGCAGACTACCCCGGTTGAAGTACATGAGCACGTAGCCCAAGGACTCAAGGTCGTCACGACGAGACTGTTCAATGCCTAAATGAGTGTTGATTGATGCATAACGTGCTGTACCTGGAACATAAGAAATATGATGTAGAATTAATTCATCTTGAGTTAGGGTTCTTTTATTGAGCAGATCCTGCCTGTATATACCCGTAGGCCGTAGCTATTTCTACCGCAAGTCAATATTTATATCTTTATTTATAATATTATATGTATTTTTTATATTATTCAAGCCCAATCATGGCAGTTGCCTGTTTGCTTAGGTTGCTGTTGATTACAGCAACAAATTTATTCTACCAGAAAACAGTGACAAGACAGTGTTGCCACATGGCATTTAAAAATTAACATCAAAATTAACTTGATGTTGCAATATTTGGTTAAATATTCCCAAGATACATAGAGCCTAATAATACATAGAGCCTGCGTAGTCACAGGCTCAGAAGACATTACATCTTTTGTAAAATTTGTTTTTACTGTACTTTTACTCAGATTGAAAGCCATTAAAATAATTGTTGACAGTTATGGATATCAATAACTTCTTCCTATGAGTATCTTATGGAAATAAGATTGTGAGACGATATTTCTACACCTTTAACTTATTTACTAACTCTGAAGGTTTTTTTCGTAAAATAGACGAATGATCACATCACCACCTGATGTTACTGGCTTGTCTAGTACTTGCCTATTCACTTAAGCCTTGAATTACCCTAAATTGTAGCTTTAGATAGCATAGATTCTCCAACTATTTGTTTAACCCCCCACTTAGACAAGATAAAAAAATTTCAACGCCACAACCACAAAAAACAACACGTATTTTTTATATTAATACAACACAAAAAATCACAAGGAAAAGAAATTGTATATTTTTAGTGTAGTTCATATATATGAATATCTATATAGATAATTCAGGGTTTTTTTTTGTCAAATGCGGTAACACCCCCAGGACAGCATCAACGCTCCCCAATTGCTTCCGAAGCCCCTACCTACCCTAGGACTCTTCAGCGCCCACTGGGGGGCGAAAGTGACCACTTTTGGGAAACTATGCTTTAGATAACAGATCCCATTAGTTCGTATTGTAGTCCATTCTTTTGCCGTGTGTGCCGAATGGCAAGTCAATGACATAAAGATGAAGTGTTTCGGAGTGTTTAATGCATCGAAGGGAGAGTGGTGAACTACAGTATTGCAACAAAGAAAAGCGTAAGTCTGAATAAGGCACGTGAGCACATGATGTTTACAGACAAAAAGGCACAGTAGACTGCAACTAACGTTGTAATCGTAGAGGGGATAAACTTTAGTATTCATTCTTACAGAACAGTTTACATCATTAGCATCTTCAATGTAAACATGTTTGTTCAGAATCCTGGAAAATTATAAAGTAAAATAAGTGCATCATAAATAATGAGCTCCTGAATCTATAGGGGTCAGGATCGAGGACTGCAGCACTTTCCTGTTTACAACTGTGTCATTAATTGTAAGAGTAAATTAAGTCCTAGTAATTAAATTTAGAAGTGATGAGCTTTTGGCAAAGTAATGTGTAGTAATTTTAATTATCTGAGTAAACTAGTAATGCCTTCTATGGGATGTTAGTGCAATTATTGGAGTTGCTTCACTTTTATAATGAAAGATTACTAAATGTGATACTTTCAAGCTGTGTTTGAAAATATGGACTTACACAACTTTTATAATGATCGACACAACTAGCCTACAGTTTACATGGATAAACTTCTTTTTGTTCTCATTGCACAATCCTTTGTTTTGGATTTGATAATTTGTTAAGATGAAAAGAAGACCCGCTTACGTCCTTTTTTCTTCATTCCTTTTGTACCACAAATATGTAATATAGAAAATAAAGGTAAGCACATTCAAATGTGTTAAGTAAACTGTTAGTCACTAACAATCAACCCTGTATTGACAACCCACGATACTCTTATCATCACAGATATCATAGATAATTTGGTGTGTATTTGTGTCAGTTAGCAGGTAAAGGTACCTTATAATCACTTTACAAGCAGTTTTGATTTATTTAAAACATATTTATCTAATGCAAAAACTAACTAAGTACGTAAAAATAGGCTTATGATAATCGACACAATTTTGTTTATAATTACAATTACATTAGGCAATAAAAAAACTTTACCATTATTACAGGAAATTAAACTACTTTTCCGGATTTAAAACGCGTACATTCGTTTTTTCAAACAAACCAACGTTTCGGGCCCTTTACAGGTCCCATCGTCACGGTTGATGGTTTTAGCATTATTTTTGTAGTAATATTCTACATGTGAGTAAGCGTAATATTCTAGAAGAGCCGCGGTAGCCTAATAGTTTGCCCTACCGCCTCTCAAGCAGAGGCTGTGGGTTCGAATCTGGGCTCGCGCACCTCTGACATTCTCGAAATTTATGTGCGAAATTTAATTTGCATTTACCATGAGCTTTTTGGTGAAGAAGAACACCTTGATGATACCTGCACGTCAAAGAAGGTTCACAACCTTCAGTCCCCTTCCCGCATTGAGCCAGTGTGGCGGACTATGGCCTAAATCCTCGCCAGTGAAAGAGGATAAGAGACCAGTGCATAGCAGTGGGCCGTATAAAGGGTTGACGATGATTCTAGATGTAAATAAATTAACGTACCTGTTAAATTTTTGTTTTCTCTGTATGGAATATGTTGAAGGGTGCGTGGATCTTTGTACTTCTTCGCTAAGCCAAAATCTATTATGTACACTAAATTCCCTTTTTTACCTAAACCCATTAGGAAGTTATCTGGTTTGATATCTCTGTAAAAGAAAAAATATATTATAAACACATAAATAAACATTCATTAACAGAATAAGCAACCAGGAACAGGGGTTCTATACTTTGATAAGTAGGGACTTATCAAAGTATAGAACTGTTCACAATTAGTTGGTACTATAAACATATGGTCATAAGAAAATTTGTTATTGGTAAGACTGCTTTTATATCTAGCTTATGAACGAGAATGAGGGCACACACCTCTCCCGAGAAGTGTGGCTACAGAGCAAGGATCTTGAGTCAGTGCTAAACACTGTAGAGAGGCTTTGTCATGAATGCTTACTAGTCTTAACAGGGCATTGTAGCTTGAACAACTACATGTCAAATATTGGGCAGAGATAATAGAGAAGGTAGATTCTGCCACGAGGCTGAAACTCCTCCTCCTCCTGATAAGCGTACAAAGTTCCATATGAAGGATACAGAAACTGTTAGAACCAAGAAAGCCCTTCAGTTCTTTAATGATGTCGGCCTTGGCTCTGAGCTGTAATTAGTGGTGGTCACAATAGATCAGTCAATAGTCACTGTGATGAGGGGCTACATAGGCCCTGACTAAATCATAATGACATCCTAATAATAAAGAGATTTCTTTTCGAAAAATACTATATACAATTTTTTTAAATAAACCATGTTTATATTCAGACTAGTTCATCTAGTAACACAAATTATAATCTGTATTTTTTTGAAGATGGAGTAAAATGACAGTTCATTGAGCAAGTATTGCCCACTTACAAGCAGATAGTGATTGCAGTTGATAAATATTCAATAGACTATCGACTGAATTTTGGTTCCGCTTATGCAATAAACAGCCGAATTTGTTTCATTTGAATCATCATCGGCCAATTATTCGTCCAACTGAACACAGGTTCATTTGAGTTGTCAATCTTTGAAAGTTCATACATACATACACTGCATTTAGAACTGTCTATTAAAAATACAAAGAGGAGATATATTTTAAAGTTTTTCATTTTATTTCAATACAAATAATCAAACCTGTTCATGTTAAAAAGTATATCAATAAAAATTTATTTCGATATAAGTAGGCCAACTGTCAAAATAAGAATGAAGGTAGTAAAGCAATTAGTAATCAATAGAATGTTATACCACTCACAATTCAACTGCCTCTGTGGCCAAATGGTTACCATGCCAGACTGCCACGCATAGGTCTCAGGTTGAATTTCCAGGCCGGGAGAAATATTTGTATGGCCTACAGTTATTTCTCTCGAGAGTTTGGGTGCAAATTGTGGTTGTCTATGTGTGTGTTCATGGCACCCGTGACACAGGGTTTCCCTAGTGCGGGGTTACGTTGAGCGAGTGCATTAATATATTATTATTACTTTTAGCAAGATTTTACCTTCTTTCACAATCTATCGATAAAACTGTTGACAACAACTACGCAATTATTTAAAATTTTATGAAAACTGGCAATCCAGCAAATGTCATTTTACTCCATCTTCAAAAAGGAAAAATTATACAATATACGTTAACAACCTCGGTGGTCCTAACAATTTGCAGTGTGCATTTTGATGAGCCCGGATGCAGTTTCCAGTAGGACCATTATATTTTCTAAATTTCTGGTCTGGGTGTTCTAGGTAGTACAGAGTAAAATCCGTTGCTTTAGTACACATGACATAGCAAATGCCCTAGTTTGAGATCAGGTAATGAGCGTGATGGTTGTCTGGCACATTATTATTATTAAAGCAACAGCACATTCATATAGTGAAATTCTAATTTATCAAAGCAATGCACTAATGTAATATCAAAATCTGCGACATCATTCAGATTGCGGAAATTAATTTTGACCCTTAGAGCTAGATTAATGTACACTTTATCTACAATGAATTATGATCAGGTAATGGATTGCCACTGCTATTGAGTTCCCAAGATAAACTCATAATAGTAACAGCTTATATAAATAGGTAGTGTTATCTTTGACCCTTCAATATGACCTGGCACCTAGACCAGTTTACATGATATTGTCAAGATGACAGTGTTGTGGGATGTCACATGGATGAGACTTGATGGCTGTTGACCACTTTTAATGTGAGAGATGCTAATGATATTTCTAATTTGTACTGCAACAATTTTCAGCAATAATTTAGCACAACTCTATTGTAAAGACATTGAATCAGTATTTTTTCTGGAGTGATTGTTGACAATCAAATTATGTTCAAAAGCATTGCATATATGGTTAACCATAAAATAGTAAACATTCAGATACCTATGGATAAAGTTCCTGTAATGAATGTCTTCAATGCGTGTGATCAGCTGGTCAGCAAGGAGGAGCACAGTCTTGAGAGAAAAGCGGCGCGAGCAAAAGTTGAAAAGATCTTCCAATGAGGGGCCCAGCAGTTCCATCACCATTACATTGTAGTCACCTTCCGAGCCACACCATTTGATTGCCGGAATACCAACTAGTGAAATAAAATATTAGGTGTCATATAAAATTCAAATACTATGGAACTTATAGGGGCTACAGAGAGAATGAGGCAACATCACATTTAACATGTTCCCAATCTCTGACATTTATATAGATTAAGGAACAAAACATTATGAACTAGGAAACTTACTCCTTGCTCGGTGCAAACTCCTAAGTGAAAATAAGACATTAGTGACTGTAAAAAGTATGGTCCCAAAGTTACATAAACTCTTAGTTGGGTTGAATTCATTGTTAGACTCTCAACTGGGGATGCCAGTGTTCGCAGCTCCAGAAGAGGTGAGGAAAACAGGTTTGCTAGTATCACATGAGCCAAAGTCTTTTAGTAAAGTATTTTTGTAATTTCAAGAATTGTAGAATAGGACTATTAACATCACATATATTATATACATTTTGAGTTATTAAGTAAAGGAAGCATTGTGAGCACTGAGTGTAAACACACAAATTCATGTACCTTAGGACACTGTCAGTCACACTGAATATTTAATAACAGTGGGAATAGTCTAAACAAGCATTATTACAACTGAACAATTATCTACAATGAATTATTACACAACAACAAATGTGAAAGATTACATTACTTCATAGGAATATTTAATGGTGTGTTTGATGAGGCAGTAAAATGGGTGTGAGAGAGAGAAGTTGGGTTTAAGAATTATGTGACGATATTAATGATTACTCACCCCCTCCTTGCATAAGTTTATAAAATTTGCTTTCTATGTGTAACTGCGGGTGCCTTGTCTTTATGCATTCTAATTTGATAGCTACCTCTTCTTTGGTCACAATGTTGGTTCCTGAAACATAAAATTAATTTGGTCCCACCCTTTATGTCACATTTTATGATCATTATCAAGCAGTGCAATTAATTGTAATTGGGAAGAAAACTCAACAAACAAACAGACATTCAGGTTGCACATTTCAGCCTACACAGCCAACATCTTTCTCTTAATAAAAATACAACGAATAGCAGAAAATACGTAAGATTCAAGGAATACACATGTTCACTGGGTAAAGTTTAAGACAAACATTACATATTTATATTACAAAATCAACTCTAACAATTTAGGACGGACAATAAAATACCAGATTGATGACACAAAAAGAAATAGGTGAGCTGACTGTTTCGAAACAAAAAATCGCAGCTGGCCTAGAATAGTGACCATCTTTCTTTGTTTACAAAGATTTCACATCTTACTTACCCAAGTAAATATCTCCGAAAGATCCTGAACCGATCTTACGGCCCAGTCGGTATTTATTACCGACACGAAGTTCCATTTTGATGATGTGCAAGAGATGAAATCACAATAATATCACTGACCACAGAATCATTACAGGACGGCCATATTGCGATAGACGCAGATCTTTATTTGGGAGAACTCTATAATATTGAACGATTTTTAGCAACAAATGGTACCGTTTTGAGATGCTCTGTTTTAATAATATCTGCACGGTAATTTGAAATGCACAAAAGCTCTGTTTCTTACACAAAATTATAAAAATTGATGCTCTAACTACACACGCACATTGAACAATTTTCTATCATTTTTTTCGGTTCGTTTCTCTTGCCATTTCCATAAACTCGGGAAATACAATTTATTTAAGGCAACATTACATGAAGTTTTCTCTATTTCTGTTGATCTTGATATTAAATTTAATTTTGGCAATTCGTAGTAAAACTAAAACAAGGATATTAATTTGTTAATTTTTGGCATAATATGCAGCAGTGTTATAGTAATTTATAAAATTGAACCTTTCCAATGTACATACTTTATATTCCTTAAATATTGGGAAATTTAAATAATTGGTAATATTGATTTGTCTATGCCATTTTTATTTTTTAAAAACAATAGCAAGGTTTAGCAATCGTACAGCCTACTTCAATGAAAATTGTTTACCATAAAAATAATGATATAGTGTTTAGTTTTTGAAATCATGACAATTCTTTTTAGAATAATTCTAAAAATTTAAAATTCCTTTTTGCGTTTGATAAGTGCCCGCGATTAAGATATGCAAGCCATTTAGCGGCAAATTTAAACGTATCAGGGCATAACCTTGTTGCTGCCATAACGTTGGCGTTTTTGACCAATATTATCTGCCTGCACTCTTCGAAACTGTTGATCAACATTAACTGACCGCATTGCTTGAATCTTATACTGGCCCAAGACTAGGAGCCGCCATTAAGGAAATACAAATAATGATTATCTTTGTATTATGGCGTTAGCTTGTGAGTGTGAATAAATATGCCCCAAAAATGTATGTCATGACATTATAGATCCGAATTATAATATTATTATCAATCACATATTGTAGTATACTAGGTCTGAATAGGTATAGATACTATTTTCCTCATGGAGAAAGATCAAATCAAGCTATACAATTTTGATAATCCTACAACGACGAGAAATCGAGACTAAAGTTATCTTCGTCATTCAATAAATAAATTTTAAGAGTTCATTGTAAAATAAAGATATTTTCAATTTAGTTAGGTAGTTGATTTGCTATAGCCCGCTTTCATCGAGTATATAACCAGAAGTAGAGACAAAATAAGGACCATGTATTCCTGGTAACTCGTTTGCGTCTCCGTATATGCCAAAAAATATTATGTATTTATTGTAATAAAGATAATATCTCTAATAAGATCTCTAACAATGCCGTGCTGTTCAATTCGGTGGTGTGGGAAAAGCAGCAAAATATCTAATTACAAAACAAATGGAATCACATTTCATCGGTAATTAAACATTAAATACGTAATTTTGCAATTTTCGTCCATTATAGCAAAGCTCAAGTTAACTGGTCGATTTGAAGTGAAACAAAGGATGACACCCATTGACGACACCCATCAATTGTTTCGAACTCGGGCTGGCCAATCGGAGCGCAGTTGTCACAGTAATGATATGGCAGAATAGTTTTCAAACAAATTAAATGACATTACGTATCTATTTCTGGTTATATACTCGATGCCCGCTTTGCACGCGATTTGGCGATTGTTGTAAAAGTGCAATGGAACCTGTAAGGTATTATTGTTGCGTCTACTAAATTGAACACACAAGTACTTGCTCTCACATATAACATTTATTTCTACATCACAACGCATTACATAACATTGACAATCACAACAATGAGATAATTGAATAAAAATGTACTTAAATACCTAACTAATTAATTTCATTCATATTATGCTTATGACTTCGTAGTGTCAATTCCTTACACGTACTTATATAAAATAATATCTTATATATAAAGTATCTTATACCACAAGTTTGGACTTGACGTAATGAACGGTCAGCAAAAATATACCAAATTATGATACCATACTACACTCAAAAAATACTTGTTAACCGACTTCAAAAAAGGAGGAGGTTCTCAATTCGACTGTATGTTCTTTTTTTTGTATGTATGTTACGCGATAACTCCGGTATTTGTGAACCAATTTTTTGTAGGTACAGGCTCAAGAGCACGTCAAGCTTGACACTAAATGTTTAAATTTAACTCCATGCCGCTTGCAATAAGAACGGCCCAAAGTCCAAAATGTCAAACTTGATTTGCTCTTGACTGTACCTATTTGAGCAAATTTTGTAATTTGGTTTACAAGATTTTGAGAGAGAGATTTTTTTTGCTACTTTACTTAAGACAAACAATTGCTGTCTCTATATATTAATATACACTTACATTAAGATTAATGGTACAGTCAAGAGCACGTCTAGCTTGACACTTTGTACTTTGGATCGTTCTTATCGTAAGCGGCATAGAGTTGGATTTAAATCTAAAGTGTCATGCTTGACGTGCTCTTGGCCCTATACTTTAAAGCTGGATTTACATTTGTCTCACGTGTCGTGTCGTGTCGCGTCAGAACGGTATCGGTTTTATACATTTAATACGGTTAGGTATATTTACATTAGTGTGTCGCAATCTGACGTGACGGCTTGTGTTGTGTGTATAGGTAATAGCGTTATGACGCGTCACGACTCGACACGTCAGATAAATGTCCCGCCAGGTATACGTTATACAAATTATTGTTATACATAAATATGTAAGTATATTACGTAAGGTCATAATTTATAAGACAACATCATTTTAAGTTCCGAATGCCTAAACGAAACATGAAAGTAAACGATTTCATCGCCATACTTTCTCAAGCTCGTATCTTAAAGCACAAAGTTACTGAAACGAAAAAAATGGAGTGTACCAACGGATTGTATATACAAATGTTACAGGCTGATTTCACATCACATTTTCTCCATATTCACACACTGGCTTTTACCTATTCTTAAAGAAATCCAAATTAACACCATTGATAAAAAAATTAAAATAAATAGAAAGTTTTGTCATCTCATAAATAATCACTCTTTATAAGATACGAGTTTGAGAAAATAAGGCATACATTTATGGAAATTAAACTATTTTCCGACCACGAAACTATTAATCCGACCCTCAGGTCGTATTCCAGAACTCTACTCAATGCTCAAGTCAGGACTTGAGTATGGTTTGAAGCACTAGAAATCTTATATTAATAATTTATTAATGATAACTAGCCGATATACGCCCAAGCCATAAAATCCCTGATAATCATGGAAAACAATTTTGCTTGCTGCGGGGAACTTCAAAAATAGGCTAAATATCGCCGAGTCGCTGATCACTTTTTTAATCGTCACGCGAGCCCTCGAAGTAGCCTAAATGGCGAAATGGCAAGGGCCTAAAACATTTGATTTTTCTTTTTTAAGAAAAATTTGCGATTTATATCCGACAAAATAGTTCAATTTTCAATGTCAACACGAAACAATTACTGTCAAATAAGTAACACTCGACCATAATAAAAGATAATATCAAGTATGAAGATTCACTCGTATCAGGCGTCTTTTAATTTGGCGGACGGAGAACGAGGGACTGTCCCATCAGGGGGCCTTAAGTAAATGTTTAATAGCACGAACTGATTAGCTAAAAATTATGTCACAGAATATATAATAAAGAATTAGGTTAATAATGCAATAGTAAATTTCTATAAAACTCAAATACCTATTTTGCCTTGCATTTTGGTAATTTTTGAGATTTTTTTTTATAACTTCAAGTGACGGAACGAACTAGTCGTGCCTGTCCTGATTGTAAGCTACACGCCGGTCCTTAACAGTTACAGTGCTAGTCAGAGCTTTAAATTGCCAAGATCTGAGGGGCACTACTAAAAAAGAAATTATTTTTTTATGTTGTTTATGATAGGAACGGCAGAATAGCTCCGATGCTAGGAGTTTAGAAAAGAGTGGGCAGAGTAAAGTAGTTTCAAACAGTATCTTTTTACTTATTATATGCAGACCGTGCATTAAGTCACCGCTTCATATAACAAACCGAAGCCTTGTTAGCGAGGCGCTCACTTCGTCATAGCCCGTTATTCCTATCGATTGTGTTGTTGTTCTCCTCCAAACGGTCGTCTCTGATCACAAAGGCAGGCTCCACTAACTTGTCGCCATCATTGAAACTGAAATTTTTCAAAGATTTCATTAAGCGGTTGTTAATATGTAAATAGTTTAAAAGTTTCTACGGTATGTACCTAACACATGTGTGATATGGGAATGCAACCCGAAACCTCGATTGCATGAAGTTGATAACGACATTTCACACATTAATTGCATGCAGTCAGAACGGACTTCGTGCAGCCGAGATCGACTGCATGCTGTTAATACGTGAAGTCGTTATTAACTTAAAAAGGGGCAGTGTCGGCCGTCAGGAATGTTTTATCTCTACGAACGAAGTCGCAGGCATAAGCTAGTATGTAATAAATATACTTAATAGTAATAATGATGTGCTAGACGAGTACACCGATTGCCTGATCTAACTAAAACTAGGGAACTTTTAGTACTAAGAATAGTAACAACAGAATTCACTGTAGGGCACTTCCCAGAACACCCAGACTGGAACCAATTTAGAAAAGTTCCTCCTTCTAGAAAAGACCTCGTCGTTCAGTGCCCACAGTGCAAGCCGTTGAGCTAAAAAGTCGTCAAAATGAATAGAAGAAATACTTACTTATATCGCGGTTGTTCGCTCCGCATAGTGAAAATGCAATTCGTTAACGCCTTTACGTAGTTCACAGCAAGGGTCAAAGTCTCTATCTTTGACAAGCTTCTCTTTTCTTTCTTAATATGAGGTATCACTTGTCGGAGATCCTGGAACGACAAAAAATTTGGATTAACGTACACATGCATACACTTATTTACACGCCCTGCACTAGAGAAACCCTGCCACAGACACACGCTCAGAAAACCACAAGTTACACCCAATCTCACAAGGGAAATAAATAAATAAACACTAGACGACATCACATACGTTGCGCTGATCCCGAAGTAAGTAACTAAAGTACTTGTGTTATGGAATCGGAAACAAGAGACAATATGAAAGGTTAGTTTGTCTTGTCTGCACTGACCCGACCGGGGATCGAATCCGGGACCACAGAGATAGCGACACCATGAAAACCGTTATGAAAGCCACTCGAGCTATAATGTCGTCAAAATGTACTTAGGCCATAAAAATTCGAAACCGGGATGTCTGCGTGGCAGATCAGCATGGTAACCGTTGGGCCACGGAGGCAGTTGTATAAATATATATATTCGTTTGAGACTTCACACGTTTTTCGAAGGTTGTTAACTTTCTTCGACGTACAGGTTTCATCACGATGTTTTCCTTGGTCATGGTAAATTTTAAAATAATTTTGCACATACATTCGGAAACCCGGCGAAAAGCGAGGCCGGAATCGAAATACATTTATTTCTCTCGTGAGTTTGGATGTAATTTGTGGTTGTCTACGTGTGTGTCCGTGGCACCCGCGATACAGGGTTTCCCTAGCGCGGGGCTATGAGTGCGTGCAAAAAAAAACTCGTATTGAGCCAACGTGGCTCACTATGGCCTTGTCGACGAGGGTTTGTCTGAGAGAAAACACGTGAGACGTATTTGGGCTGATGTTGTTATTGTTGTTGATGCAAATATCAAGGACAGTCTAAGTGTTTTTTACGATGAATTTCGTCGTGTTCAAAAATAAAATTTATAATTTTTCTTGGAAATGATACTATTTATTTCGGATCTAAATCGCGTATAAGTATTTTGTTTTTTAAAAACAAATATAATATATTTGAAACACAAATACGCAATTTAGATCCGAGAAAAAAATAATTTCTTTTCCAATTTATAACAATCGCGAAAACCTACGGAAACCAATATACAGGGTTATTTGTAAAATGCTTACAACCTCGTAGGACTAATTAATTACCAACATCATAAACAACAACTTCTTGAAGTGTAACGGTTTGTGGTAACAACGGTCTTGAAGGGTAAGGGTGTTGATGAAATTACAGGTACATGAGACTTGTCAACTTACGTCTGAGGGTAACGGACGCAGTGACAAATGGCATAAAAGTTGTTGATGATGTTGGACTTCGGAGGTTGTTAGAATTAAAAAAAAGGAAATGGTACTTACTTCAAATGCTCTATTCAAAGAATGCATACGCATTCGTTCTCTTTCGTTGCTCTCTAGCCTGCGCAGATTGCGTTCCCGCGCCGATATTCCGCCACAACGCCGCCGGCGTCCAGTCCCCGAAGTTGTATTGGACGGAGTTGTAGCCACAGAATATGGAGCTTCATTCCCAGAATCTACTTTTCTTTCTTTGTGGCTTCTTAACCTGTACTCGTTGTCGTTGTGGGAGTCATTGCTGTTGCTAGCAGCACTGTCGTAAAATTCTGAAATGGTATTACATTTCGAGTTCTTAGGTTTTCGCGATTGTTAAAGATAGGAAATGAAACTATTTTTCCGGATTCAGTCAACCGTGACCGCAGGCCACATTAATATCGTGACCATGGGACCTGTAAAGAGCCCGACACGTTGGTTTGTTTGAAAAAACAAATATACGCGATTTAAATCCGGAAAAACAGTTTCAATTCCTATGGTATTACATTGTTTCTATTTTAACAAGCTCACAAGTCACAGCAGAATCGAAATGCGTCCATTTTAGTACAGTGTATCGCAAAGGCGACGTGTGGGTTGGTGGTTTTTTACAAACTTATAGGCCCGCACTAGAGAAACCCTGTATCGCGAGTGCCATGGATACACACATCGACAACCACAAATAACGCCCAAACTCACGAAAGAAATTAAATGTGGGCCATACAAATATTTCTCCCGGTACGGGAATCGAACTCGGGACATCTGTGTGGCAGTCCAGCATGTCACCGTTTTAGACCACTGAAGCAGTTAAAATTACGAATAGAAGGACATTGAAATGACGTTTGTAATTGCAGTTCTACCCGTGTGTCATAAATACAATGTACCTATGTAATCACACTCGCGAGCAAGTTGAAAAAAAGGAAAAATAGACAATAGTTTATTCATATACTATTTACAAACTTTCGTCTTTTAAGTAGGTATCTCACAAAATCGTCCTATATACATACAGCTTTAATGTTTTGTCCAAGCAGGTTGATATTTACCTTTTTAATTCTAGTGTTGCATCGGTAAAGCGTCTTCTTAGTAATTTGTTTATCAGTGTTTCGATTTTGTCATAATGTATTATTAAATATTATATAGTTATATTTTAAGGCTCATTAATTTCAACTTAATGTATGTCTATTGAGGATCTATAATTGGCTCTCCAGCATTATTTAAGATTTTGTTCTTCAATATAGCCGCTGGTCTTAAAATAAATTAAAATAAAAAAAGAAATTAAGAAAAATACATACTTGTATAATAGAACGTAAAATGTTTTAAATTCATGTAAGCGTTGGCATTTATGAGTATGTATCTTATAAAAATTATAAATGAAATCACGCCGACTGAATTTATATTAGTTTTCATAATTAAGATGTGAATCCACTGCAATTTGGGGTGTTGCGATGCGAATTTGGCGCGAGGTCTACCGCGAGGTTTCGAGCGGGCGGCATGAGAGTACAAATAAAACAAAAAACGCTTTATCGCCCTAGAGCTGTATGATAAAAAATATCGCCTAGTTTTCTGAACGTTGTACTACTACTTACGAGCAAGTGTGATGCAAAATACATTGTTACCCAATGCCCTAGGCGTGAGTCGCTTTAACGTGGAGAGCCCGCATCGTTTTGCTCATAGACCTGTTGTCACGAACTATTAACAATTGGCAAACGCCAGTATAGCCACGAAGAGAGAACGATTTGTGCAACAAGTTCGCTCCGAAACTTAGGCATTACGTGACGCCGCTACACGCTTGATAAATTGTTTGCGTAATATCGCGAATGCAGACTAATCGATTTGAACGCACGGCTCCGGGCGATTTTCGTAATGCTCTTATCTGCATCGTGCTATACGGTGACGGGAGAATAATTTAATAATAACAAACTTACAAGAGACATGCACGTGTTTGTTGTAGGTACTATCACCAACGCTGACGCGTCACCACTTTAAAGGTTATTTTGTGTACAGGCAACGGCAAGGCAGTTAGTAGCGGCCACTCGCAATTAACTTGTTATTCATCATAGGTACTCCTAACAAATTTTCAGCATTCTTACAATCACACTGGTTGATGGACACAGCAGCACCATATCATTCGCATAACTAATATTATATTACCACCGGGTACATCCAATACTTGGTTAATTTGATCACCATACCAGAAGCGGAACAGGTCGATCGTCTCCCTCGGGGTATTTGTGCGCTTTTGCGTTTTGTCCCAAAGGATTTATTATAAACAAAACAGAAATAGGAGTCAACAAAATAATATAACACAATCTCCGCTTGCAAACTAAACTGTTTTGGGACTGGGCAAGGCTTCAACATTGCTGGTAGTACTAAGGACGACAGGTTAAAATGTAGATAATGTAATAATACCATCATTAAATACCTGCACAAAAGGGTGCATAAGCTCTACATTATAATTACAGTTTTTAACTCCCAATTCATTGACAAAATCTGTGAATATCGTCATTCTATAATTAATCATGAAGACGCTGTTACGTTTTTATGACGACTGTATAGTAATTCACACAGTCATACATTTGTTTTTTGAACTTTTATAACTTTAAGTATTTTTCCATTTTGTTTTCTTCTAACTTAAGCTTATACATAACAAAGAGCCATGTTTTCGAAATTTAAATTCTCTTTGTTTGCCAACAAGTTGCATAAGGGCAGTTTAGTTTTTTGATATGGACGACAGAAGACTGCGTCTTGTGCAATGAGAATTTAGGTAACATCGAAACCCAACTTGAAAAACTTGAAAACTATGTTACTTTTGCTGTTCAATTCGCACCCTTGGTATAATAATGCAACATCTACAAAATGAGGACTTTTCAGGAAAGATGTTTAAAAATTTAGAAATTAGTCGCGTGTGTTTATGCTTAAATTTACAAAGGTCTTTTAATTATTTATTTCTTTAACAACAGTTATTGTGTTAGAAAAAAAAAGAGACCGAACATAAAACACAATATTAAGAAGTCAGTAATGAAAAATAGTAATAAAAACAAAGAATAAATGCAATGTCAAAATAGTTATCCTAATCACGTTTAAATACAAATTAATATCAAGTGCCTCCAACAACAAATTTATCAACATGGCAAAAAGATTTTTCCAACAAGAAATGTTTCAGACACTTTTTGAAAGATACTAGAATCCTGTGTTATTTTAAGTTTAGTACGAGGACTATTAAACATTTTTGCTGTTTGGTACCTTGAACTATGTTTTACAATATTAATTTACTTTCTGCTATTACACCACGTGCGTTCTTCCTCCTAGTAAGAAGCCTATTTGACTCGGTCTCCTTACTAAATTCACCCATGCTTGTTAACAACTCTAAAATATAGATAAACTGTTGAACAAACACAAAGAAAAATTCGTTCAATCCGGCTGAACTCGAACCACAGAGTTTTTCGTCAAACCGGGGCGATCGCTCTACCAACTGATTTGGTATCAATACCAACAACAAATTAGTATCATAGATATCATGGTAGTAAAAATATCATTATATTCAATAAAATATTTGTTTTTGGTGTTCGAAATATTTCTATGACTTTCACACGGTAATAGCGCTTTTTTGACGTACGATCACATGTGGCTTTATTTACACCAAAGTGCGTATTCAAGTTTGTTTACACATACGATTAGTTATAGTCAGATGTCCAACAAATACGACTGTTATGGTATTTAATGCATTCCCCGGGCGGCGCAGGAACAAGGCGAAAAAATAATAAAATGCAACACCTTTCGTATTATGTAGAAAAAAAAAAATTTATAGTTTTTTCACAAATTAATTTTTACTTTGAGTACTATTACGTTTTGAATATCTTAATTATTTGTTGCTTGTTTAAACTGATGGCTTTATAGCCAATGCACAATAAATAAATAAGAAATAATCGTGTTATGTATACCCATAACTTACGACGCTTATTAACGCTACAAAGACGCTACATATCTTGGACAGCCACATGGCCATAGTAATAAAATTTTTCGTCCTTCAGAACAGGCTAAGGCGTCTAATTGGCCATACTGCCAGATTTTAGTTTGTAATTTTTCCTCAATAGTTACATTTTCTGGTGTCTGTCCGTAGAAAATCGTTATAAATTTACGGTGGCCATTTTGAAAACATGGATCAATTAAAAAATTATACCATCGAATTGACATTCTAGTTATTGCCAACTATGAAAACTTTTTTTTTATTGGCACTGCTTCCTAGAGTTTTGTCCTAGTTTAATACTTACTTAATAAAATGTTAACTTACCATCAGCAGCCTCGTTCATTCTTTCAGGTATTTCCTGAATCTTTTTTAAATCTTCTTCAATATCCCCTATGTCTTCTTTGAAATAATTTTTTACAGAGTTTGATTCGTTAAGGAAATTCTTCACAGGAAATTCATTCTCGTAAGTGCCCTCAAGAAGATCATCTTGGGGAAGCAACTCTGGCATCAGAAGAGGGAATTCTTCCTCTGAGCCAGTGCTTTCCTCGTTTGCCCAAGTGGGCATCATCTTGCCTGGAAATAGAGAATAAAATTGTTTGTACTGCATTTCGAAATGCGCTACTCGGCTAACAGTTGTCTTAGAACAATTTTACAGGCATTAACTTACAAATAAATGGACGACGGGTCTAATACAAAAACCACGAAAAAAATGTCCCAAGTCAACCTATTCGAAATTTAAATTGTAATGTCATCGCAGTATCGCGCTGTCAGTAGAACAAATGAAGACTAAAGCGGAGGTAGCGCTCTGTATACGATTTTAGCGCCTTACAAGTGCGGACACTTTTTAGCGCGGACCCGACGTCCATAAAATTGTAAGTCAATGTTTACAGGCTATAAAGTTGACTCATTGATCAACGAAGTTGCCAGTATTTTGACAGAAGCTTCGGAACAAAAACCGCTAAGTCACATTTTGTCATTTTTTGAATGGCAAACAGTAGTTTTTGTACGTTTCTATGAATAATTTATCTAAAGTGAAGAGCACTTACTAAATCCGTCTTAAAAATACATTTGACACAATGCGACGAGCCATTCAATGAGATTAGACGAAATTGGAATCCAAATTTATCGGGTATCGGTTTTTTTTCCGAAACCTCTAATTTAATTACTTATTACACCAAAAATACACACTTTTCAATAGACCTCAAAAAAAGGAGGAATGTCTCAATTCGACTGTTGTTTGTTTGTTGAATTCGAGTGGCATTTGTGAATCGATTTCGATGAATCTTCATTCATCCTTTTGAAAAGAGGTTACCTTAGTAATGGTCCCGTTCAAATTTGAAGAAAATATTCCACTAATATAACTAGAGGATGAATCCGGTTTATATATACCTTTAAACTATCGCGTTTCATTGCGTATTCATCCCACCTACCTAATTTCCCGACGTTTCGGTCAGGTTGCATTGGCCGTGGTCACGTGGTCAGCACATGAAAATTACCTATTCGTATGTGAACGCGTTTATTCCCGTTTCCAAATTTTTGAATCCGTTTTATTGGATTTCACCCACTTTCCGATAACTAACTTAAATGAAACTTGGTAAATAACGTTTAAATAACGACGATATTAGTTTTACATAATACACATTCAATACATGCATAAATATACAACTCTCACTTATTATAAGTGGGCCGTTGAGCACGTGTTTAAATTATTCATTTGATCAGCCCCACCTCAATGTTTTGCGCACCACAGTAGCCTTCAAACTGGCATTGTACACTTGTCTTAGACCTAGTGATAACCAGATATAATGTAACATAAATAATGTATACGTAACTAGTTGTTATAAAGGTTAGAATCGTAACAATAATTGCTAAAAGGATTTATGCAATTGTAAATTTAGTTGATTTAGAAAATAAACCTTCCGGTAACAAAATTTGTATACCATAACAGGAAATCATGCAATTTTTTTTAAATATTGATAAACTTTAGTAGCAGTAGAGCACCTCGTGGAAAAGTTCGTTCAGGAAGTACTGCCACCTTACCTATTTCTGTCGCCCAGGAATAGTGTGAGCATTACTGCGTTCCGGTTTTGAAGGGTAAGAGTGCTGGTGAAATTACAGCCACATGGGACTTGTTATGTTTCAGGGTGACGGGCGCATTGGCAGTGCCTCTCAGATCATTGTGATTTAAAGCTCTGAGTGGCACTGCAACTCTATGGGCGCGCACAGGCCCACAATTTGTTCGTCCCGTCACTATCATAAAAAAAACTAATTTCAGACAACAAAAAAGTCCAGCTAACAAATTAGAAACGATGTTAGTTTTAACCACCTTCAAAAACAGGAAGAGGTTTTCATTTCGACTATACTTTTATTTTGTGTGTATATTACACGATTACTCGGACCTTTGTAAACCGTTTTCGGTGGTTCTTTTATGTTGGAAAAGGGGGTTCAGTAGTGGTCCCGTTTTAATTTGACGAAAATATTCCACCAATATGGGTAGCAAATTAGGAGATGATTACGGTTTATTGCATTTCACCCACTTTCCGTTAACCGATTTGAATAAAACTTGGCAAATAAGTAGATGTAATTCCATAAAGTTATAATTAATACAATATAATATGTTTATATAACTATGTTAATTACTAATAACTTTAAATAAACACAACACAATTAAAACAGAAAATAATATAGATTTCTCGTAGGTGGACTGAATTCTCTGACTTTGGTGGTCACTTAATTTCAGGAAAAACAATGAACTGAAAGGAAAAAGAACTCAAACTTACAGTCAGGTTCAGGTTAGGTTTCAGATATTTCGAATTTTTTTTTCTATGAGGTCCGAAAAGTTTATTGGGAAGATTTTGTGTTAGCTTTCGACCTATATTGTACATATAGATTTTAAGACTTTCGTGGTTATTCACTAAATGATTATCACTAGTAACAGGTTTCTTAACACGGTATAACTTCTTTTTATTTTCCCGATATTTCGGAACGGCTATAGCACAACATCTCACACAGACACTAACCACTGGATCGAGTTGCATAGCCCCCAGGTACTCTCGACAGAACGTCACTACATACCACGGTTGGTACGAGAAGCCATCGAGATCACGAAGTACAAAACATTTAACCGTGATGATGGTTTTAAACTGTCCAGTGCATGGAATCCGGTCCTTAGTGCGTGCAGTAATAAAAACAAAAACACCTCGAGTTCAGTTTCGCGTGTGGATACAGTAAGTGTGGTTTGTGTGAAAAAAGTGAGTGACAATGGTAACGCCACAACAAATCGCGATGAAGGTAGTCGTCGACAGCGCAAGAGGGTAGACAGATATGTCTGCCCATAAAGCTGTCATCTGCCGCTGTCCAGTCAACCCGTGACCATGGAGCGTGCAACCGTTCCGAAATATCGGGAAAATAAAAAGAAGTTATACCGTGTTAAGAAACCTGTTACTATATTGTACACTCTTTTTTTGTAGAATTTTATTCTAAATAAGTAGACTCTGAGAATTGCGGCTTTGGAGAAATGCCCAGATGAAGACTTGAATCACTTCACTTGAATAGTTCAATCTATTGGCAATGGTTTCTAGGATAGGGTTGCAACTGGCACGCTGTCTGCAGAGCAGTGAGGCTGACCTTTAGTCATAATGGCATGAAAGTGATCTGTAGAAGCCTGTAAAAATATGCCTGACGCCCTGCAGAATCGTGATAGCCCCAACAATATCGGAAACCAACGACAGACGACAAAATAGTGCCAGGTTAAACGAAATTAACTCCTTCATTCCCAGCACAACCTGGCTAGAGCCAATTTATAAAAATTCGGTTACAAAGTTTATCCTACCGATAGTACACACAGAAAAAGAGCTGAATTTAGAACCTTCTCCTTTTCTGAAGTTGGGAAAAATAGAGCGCTCTTTGGACATCCACTAACCTGAACCGTCGAAAAGAAAAAAAAATCATGTAAAAATAATACCCTAACAAGTATTGTAATGTTATTTAAATTTTTGTTAATGTATTAATACATTGTATAAATGTGTCATTACAAATACATAAACTCGTTGTGTACATTTTTAAAAATAATGTTATTGTCATAAAGTAAAAATAGGTAAAACACCATATTTCTTATTTAAGTTAATATTTTCGCTTCTGTAACTTTTTAAATACTTACCAAGTGTTTTTAAATACTTACCAAAAAAACGTGTAGTGTACAAAATAGATAAAGAAATTTATGTTTTACGATTTTGTCAATTCAATTTTCGAGCTACTTAAAGTAAATAATTTCTGGTAGTTTCATGACCACGTTCAAAAAAGCGCTCAACTCGACACGGTCGAAAACTCATTCAGAGCTTGACCAAATACACCACCATTTGCGAGTAAAAACATCTGATTGTTGGCCCATGTAGAAACCTCCTCGTCTTACGTCTTAGACGCTAAGCGCTATGCCATAGAGCCCTTATTTTTTTGGTTTTTTATGAAACCTCAACGAATTCCTATAAAGTACCTGAATTACATAAAATTCTACCGATAAGATATCAATTGACAATTTATGTTTTAAATATATACAAAAACACGTCGTGCCACCAGTCCAATAATTAGTTCGGAAATAATTTATTTCAAGCATACAATCACCTTTATTTCTTTAAGAATAACGTACAAAATGATTTGTATTACGAGCCTTTAGATATGGAATGCTAAAGATAAGGGTAACCTCGTGTATTGTTCCGATAAAATATAATTTCGTCAACATTGCTAATTAAGTAACGTAAATAACATTGCACTTTTGGTTTGGTTTGGCCCTTTCTCTTTTTAACACACGACATTCAGCAGCTTTCATTAAAAATATAAATTGCACATTATATGCACTATACTTTAAAAAAATCTATCGTATTAATTCTAAAGGGTACACCCATTTGTTGGGTCGGTATCACAATGACTATGTCTTCAAAATGTCCGTATCAGCATAAGGACTATATAGCAAAACGACTACCTCTGCAGAAAGACTATAACTTGGCGCTGGATGAGGAGGTGCCGGCTTTAGTCGGACCAATGTGATTTATGTAGTGTTTTTTTGTTTATTCTAGTCTGGGTTCTCTGGGTAGTGCCCGAAAGTGAATTCTGCAACTGTGAAAACTACAGTACAAGGAATTCCCTAGTTTGAGACCGTTAGAGCTTATGCACACGGCGTATTATATACGCACCGACGCCGCGCGATTTCACGAGCGAGCGTTTACGGTGCCGTAAACGCGGGTCATCTGCGCGTACACGCTCCGCAGACGCGCTGTACTGGATCGATTCAAACGCGCGCAAATATCGCGTTGAAAGCAAGAAGCTTATATATACCACTAGAGTTTAAACTTAGAATTTCATGTAGTTGCTTCATTTCAAACACTAACTGGAATTAACAAACAAAAAAAAATTAAAATTATCTTTTATCAAAATGCGCAATACAAACGCGTGACTACAGCGTGTTTGCGGCGCGTATAAAATACGCCGTGTGTATAGGCTCTTATTCTTATTCCTATCTGTAGGTTTGACATATTACACTAAATGCAAATAGCTCTCATAATATCCCCATAATGATC